AATATATTGAGACAAACGAAAACAAAAACACAACATAACAAAACAGTGCCTGGAGAGAAGTTTCTAGCTTTAAATGCCTACAGGAAAAAGATCTCAAATCAATACACTAACTTTCCACCTTAAGAAGCTAGAAAAAGTAAACTCACAAACAGCTAAGAGAAAGAAAGAATAAAGATCAGAGTGGAGATAAAATAAAAAATGAAAAAAAACGGGGAATCGATGAAAAGTTGGTTCTTTGAAGAGATCAACAAAATTGACAAACCCAGCTAAACTAAGAAAAAAGCAAGAAGATTCAAAGTACTGAAATCAGAAATGAAAGTGGGTACATTACTACGACCTTAACAGAAACTAAAAGGATTACAAGACAGTATTATGAACAACTGTGTGCCAACAAATTAGACAACCTAGATGAGATGGACAAATTCCTAGAAACACACAAACTACCAAAACTGACTCAAGATAAAATATAAAATCTGAACAGACCTATAACAAATAAAGAAATTGACTCAGTAATCAAAAACTTCTCAACAAATAAAAGTCCAGGATTAGTTGGCTTCACTGGTGAATTCTACCCAACATGGAATTAATACCAATCCTTCCCAAACTCTTCCAAAAACAGAAGAGGAGGAAAAACTCCCTAACTTATTCTATGAGACCAGCGTTACTCTAATACCAAAGCTACAAAAAGATATCACATGAATCGGAAATTATATACCAATACCCCTTATGAATATACATGCAAAACTCCTCAAGAAAATACTAGCAAACCGAATCCAGCAGCTTATTAGAAAGGTTATACACCCTGATCAAGTGGGATTTATCCCTGAAAGGCAAGAGTGGTTCAACATGGGAAATAGATCAATGTAATATACCATCTTCACAGAATAAAGGAAAAGAAACCTACAAGATCATCTCAAATTGGTACAGAAAAAGCATTTGACAAAATCCAACAACCTTTCATGATAAAAAAAAAAAAAAAATAACAAAAACATTCAACCAACTAGGAATAGAAGGGAACGTTCTTTTCTTGGCACAATAAAGGACATCTGTAAAAACCCACAGCTAGCAACACATCCAGTGGTGGAAAGACTGGAAGCTTCCCCCTAAGACCAGAGTGAGGCAAGGGTGCCACTTCCACCACCTCCATTCAACTTGTACTGGAAGTTCTAGCCAGAGCAATTAAGCAAGAAAAACAAATAATGAATCCAAATTGAAACAGAAGAAGTAAAACTGTCTCCTTTTGTATTACAGATGACATGATCTTAAAAGCAAAAAATTGAAAAACTCACGGAAAACAAAGTAC